TTGGATGGAGAAGCCAAGGGTATTTTCCAGTTCTTCTTTCCAAACCTTTCATACAATACTGCCTTTTCGGTAGACCCAAAGATGATTTATTAACTGCTTTTTACGATATTCTACCCGAACATGAAGCTAATACGCTTAAAGCAGCCGTGATGGATTACTCAAATGTCGATGAAGAAGATCTACTTGACATTTTGTCAAGTCACGAGTGCAAAAAGCTGCCAAGCCAAAAAAATGTTGTTCGGATACTGCAAGAAATAGCCCATAAAGAAATAATTCAAGCTCCGATGTTTGTCATCGACAGTTGGACGCCAATACTTAAAGATATCGGGATATCAGATGACCAGTTACAAAACATTTACAAGGAACTCACACCAACGCAAAAAGATGTCTGTCGAGCCCTTTGTTTTCCGGATACCATGAATCCAGATGAAATAACTGTTTCCAATCATTTGAAAAGATTTATAAAGGAGCTTACGAATGAAAACTTGAAAAAATTCTTACGGTTTTGCACTGGATCGGATTTATTTATTTGTAAGAAAATTTCTGTAGATTTTGTGAACGTCATGGGGCTCTCTAGGCGCCCAGTAGCCCATACGTGTTCTAAACTTCTTGAACTGTCTCGAAACTATGAAAGTTTTCCCCAGTTTAGATCAGAATTTATGTCTGTCTTGGAATCCAATGTCTGGGTAATGGACATTGTGTAAGAGAATTGCATCACTTGTTACGTATAGTAAGAAAAAAAGTGTTTTACGGATGTCTGGAATGAGGAAGATTCACATAGTAAAGGCATGAGGTGACTGTCGGCCATATGGAACCTTCAGTGTTCCCAGGAGTGTAACTATATATAAATACATGTATCACTTCACGTAACAGCAACTGTTCTCTATTCTTTTTTTTATTAATTTGTTTACATATTTCATGGTCTGAGAAAAAGACTGAATAGACCAGGGTCTTATAAAAATTTAGTTTTTATCCAATAAAAAATTATGGATCTGCCATTTTCTTATTTATTTACTCAGAGAAGTCCTATTAATATTTCAGCTTAGCATCCAGATGCGAAACGAATTTTACCTTGAATGAAAAAGGTGAAGATAACGAACATTGATCAAAAGATTCTTAAGATTGAATTTATTTCTTGGTTATTGAATTAAATTTGAATCCTTGGCTGTGGAGGGATTCCTGCGTAAACGAAATCAATTGAAACTTAGCAATTTAAAAATAGATGTACGTTGTTTCTGACTGTTTATAGAAACACCCCCCCCCCCCCCCAAAGAAAACCTTTCCAAATAAGCTTAATTGTGTCATCCTATGAAGAAGAGAGTTTCCAAAGGAAACAGCAGATAAAAAGCTTTTAATTAATCTGAAACCAAATCTCTATCACCAGAAGTCTAGTTTATTCAATGAAATCAAGGCTATTGAAAGTAAAAAAAAAAATAAAAGGCTAATAGCGAAGGCCTTTAACTTCACGCATATTGTACAAAGAATATTTTATTAATCTTTATCACAATGGTTTAGTATGACGTTAACCTATTTGCCATCTGGGTCAAAGCCAGAGAAGTAGAGTATTGAAATTTATCATGGAAAAAAAAACAACTGTATCCCGAAGGATGGGAAACTGTGTCCCATCAATACATGCTCTTCAAAAGAGTAAAACTTTTGTTTTCACCAACAACCTGTCTCTTTAACAGATAATTACGATTAGTAGTAGAAGTTTGAAATTGATTTCGTTATTATAATTTCCAAGGTAGGGAAAGCCTCATAGGGCACATGTACACCCCTACAAATGTTACTTTAATTTAGCAATTTAAATTCAAGACGTGGTATCTCTCTTTTGACTTATTTAAAACATGCTGGAGCCAGATTTGACGAAAAAATTCGGCAGTAATTGAGTAATTTAACAGAACATTGGTATGTGATTTACCGTTGAGGAAAAGTGTACTGTCTTAATGCAATTAAATACATGTACAGTAGCAGGATTCTTGAAAAGGGGTGGGGGGTTAGTAACAGGTTTTTGACTTATTTTAACTATATTTAGGTATAATTTAAAATGTAACATCCCATACCAAAAATTTATTTATTTATCTTATTTATATTTTTGGTCACAAAAGGGGGGTTGGGGGTTGCTCTGCCCCCTCGAATCCGCCAGAGATGTATTTCTCCACGTGCCAGTCAATGTCACTACTTCTTAATGTATATAGCTTTACTTCCTTAAATTATTTTTTTAATCCATTACTTGACAGTCTCGCACAGTATAGTGAAGCAATAAAATCGTACTTCGCGTTGTTCTTCTTGTTGTTGATGTTGTGTGTGTGTGTGTCTCAATACAGAAAATAGAATTGTTTTTTCTTAAAATATACTTACATAAATTATTTAAAAATATTTGCAATTTTCAGCTTTTCAAATAAATTGTCAACAATTATTTATTATTTAGTTATTTCAATTCAGAATTTAAACAGTTCATATAATAAGTGAAATAAAATACTAGTAATAAAATGTCCAAGCCAAATCGAGAGATACGGTAACACATTTTGATAAAGTCCAGAGACGTAGGTTGGTTATGCGTAAGCGGGTTATGTGAATTTTTTCTGCAATAGCTGCCACGTCGTACTAACAGACAAAGAAAGACATTTTATTGTTTATATTTATATTTTAAAGAAACATTCAACGTTAATTAAATATGTAAAATATTGTATTATAGATGTTTATGTCATTGTACGCATAATTGATGGAACAGCCGTTGCTTAAGAAATCTATGCAGGTGGCTTGCTTAGTGTTGTTTACGGACTGATTAAAGACAATGGTTTTTCTAAGAAATACGGGAAATAAATTCAGTGGATGTAAATATAAGTTTGTTTCCCTCGAACAAGAAGCAGAAAAGTCCTCGGAGGTGTTGTTTAAGTGGAGAGCATCGTGCAGCTATATTTAATACTCTGGACACAAGCTAGGGTTGTGTTGTTTAGTGAGGTAGCGGTAGCATCTTTTTGATGTTCACCAAGACTCGTTACCAGAGACGCTTCATCGCAGCATGTCTGACTGATCCCTTTGAACTCAGGTAGTCCAGCATCTCATCCCACACAAGTCCTTTCGGCGAACGTTGGGTGCACCAGCCTCCATGCAGCCCAAACAGTGCGCACTTCAAGACCGCAAGGAGACTGAAAGTCTAGCAAACACTTAGGAAATATAAACTAATTATTAGTAATATGAAATATTATTGAAATAATGGTTATGGTTGGTCCACTGCGCTTGACCATCCATAATGAACAAATGATTCACGAGTGATAAAGTGAAAAAGACCCAGTTTAGTTCTCGTGTCCTTTTTACAATTTCTCGGTTAAAAGTGCATAATTGTGAGCAAATAGAAATGAACAATTTCTCTAATAAAATTAAAACGCCTATGCTATAAAATATTTTAACTTGATTCATAAAATAATTATGTAAAACTCTTTAATGTTTTTGGCGATTATGTTAAATCTTGCCCATGCAGGGTCTGTGAAGGAGTTGCGCCATACGGCACGCCCCGCAAATTGCAGACACGCAGGATTTTCTACATGTAGTTATAAGTTGATCGTAGTCTGTGCTATCGGTATTCTTTATCGAAGTTATATGTGGAATCAGTGATGCATCATATATAACAAAATCGGAACCACCATTCAGCATATTGACATCCACTGACAAAGAAACAAACTTTTTCTCTGATGTGGTTCGTAAGCAAAAGCAGATCCAGCCCCCCCCCCCCCCCCCATGTATTGTTATGTGTTATATATTAAAGAGAGGAACTAGTAAGTTGAAAGAACTTGTTTCGTATCCTTTTGATTCTCAATAAAATATGTTCAAAACAAAACAAAGAAAAAAACACCTCTTATTTGTAAGAATTCGTCAGCTTCCGAGGGAACACCCCCCGGGCTTTGCCCTGGTCCCACTGGGGACTTCATCACAGCCCCCAGACCCTCTGCCTTCTACTGCGCCCCTCCCATTATTAAATTCTTAGATCCCTCACTGGTAAGTGTCAAGTCGTTTTGGACAGCGTTACGAAAGTTACGCACATGCCATGGAAAAGAAATAACATTATCAACGAAGTCTACTTATCTTGGCCTGTCCCTTGATCTCTGAATTGGCATTTTATATTTAACAAAAATTTTGGTGCTTTTGGTTTAAATATAATTTTTCTGTATACTGCCTATGTTAGATGATGAATGATTTATGAAGTTCTTAGAAACAGAAAAATCATTTCCACTAGTCAATGTCATGCGATTTGTCAATTCCTATCGCATTTTCTTTTTATTTTTCTAAATTTTGTTGTCAATGAATCAGATATATGCATTATCATAGCATCAAACTATGATGTATTTTAGAATGGCCCCAATATATTTCCTCTCAGTCCCTTTAATTTCAAAATGGCCCCATAATTATATGAATACTTGGGCTATTCCCCATCTGTTGTTTGACTTTCCCAGGCACTGCAACTTGCTGTAGTTTCGCCAGAGTTGATGAGAAGTCCTCGGACATTATAATCTGTACTATAATAAGCTAAAACCGTAGAATAAAAGATTGAAAAACATATTTCCAGATGGGTGGGTGGGTGAGGTGTACTGATTGCCGTGGCAGTATTCTCAGAACTTTTAAGGATCGTGTCATGAACATACCAGTCCCATATAGGGATTGAGACATGCATACGAGTATACGATAAAATATGAAAGCTAGGATAGATTTCCCATTTTTATGTTCAAAGTAGAGTCTGTATAGTTCCCTATACTTGACTTCAAACTACCTTAAGGCTAAATTTAGCTAGGTGTACAGGCTTTGTTGGACAGTGATAAATATACCCGACTGCTTAAAATATTAAAATATATTGTACACTGTATTGCTCCAACCACTCCATACCCAGTGACAGGCTAAATTTTGAAGACGTCAATTTAAGCACATCCTATTAAAAAAATACAGTAGAAATTTATTCAATTGCATATCCATTTGAACATAACTGTATATTGCTATCAGGTTTTTATTATACATCCATGCTTTCAAGTTCAAAGCGAATTAAGCGTCTTAGTCTTTTATACAGATCTTTCGCCTCATCTGCATAGGATGGTTTTTGAAGATTATTTTCTCTTCTTATCATTTCGCATAAACAGGCAATGGTTTCATCACAGAGTATTGTCCTATAAACGGTCTCTTCTTCACATATATCAATTTCATTGTCTTCCACACGACAAAGTCTTTCTTCGGCATTGTACAGCTCAGGCATAGTATAGAGAAGTATTGGTCGCTGTCGTTCCGTTCCGTAGTTTTGCTTTGACTGGAGAGTGTGAGTATTCCACGTCAACTGCAAGGAGTCGAGATCTCTCTGTAAAATAAACCAACTGCCAAATTAGAAGATATACAGAATATATGTTTTTAACGATATATATATGGAATGGTTACATGTATGAGGGAAATAGCAAATTTATGGTTCCCCGAGGGAGGAAACTATTTATCGAGGTGGCTAGCACTAAAACTAAACTACTTAACCCAAATAATTACAATTTTAATTGCTAATCTGAATGTTTAAAAAAACAGTTGATATGAAATAATTCCGGACCCTTATGAAACACGTCCGGACGTACTCTGGGAAAGACTTAAGCGAAGGGTGTTGTGTGTTTGCACATTATTGCTCATGCGTTGTTTCACTTTTCAAAACTTGGTCTATCCAGAAACCATAATCATTTTAGTCACTACGACGCAATTTTAACAATTAATGACCAATATTGGCACATGAATACACAAAGAAACTCATTTATCGTTCTCATTTAAACAATCACTTTATGTTACAAACGTAGAAAATAATAGAATATACCTTTTATGAATAATGAACAATACTATGTAAAACATATTGATTACCTGAATTAAATCCATGAAGCAATACTGAATAAGTGATTTGTCTAAATGATCTCCGCAGAATAAATCAGAATCGTCTCTGCTGAATTCAGAAAACATATCCATGTAATATTGTCCCATTTCTCTTCGTAGTAAACCCCAGAACCATTCGATGCGCTGATTATGGGTACTTTTTCCATAGAGGAAACTTTTGTCCCCAGCAAGTTCGTCAGCATGATCTCTACGCAGGAACTTTTGCATCTGCTCCACATATGTGTTCTCTGTTCCAAGATCTGCTCTTATTCTCTGCGGACATCCACTCTTTCTTCGTACAGCTTTGATATAATAATTGGCTATCACTTTTGGGTCGCTATTAGTAATATTTGCTTCTAGCCAAACGATATTTCGTGAAAAGCCATCAATGCAACCGTTTATTGCAATTCCGTATGGTTTAAGCTTGTCATATGAGTCCATATGCCAAACATAGTTTGGTCCCTTACTGTGATACTGCCTCCTTTTCAGGCGTCTTCGTTTCCTTGATTTCACTCCTTCAGAATCTAATATCTGCAACAACAAATACACAGTATCCCTTGTTACGTTATATCCTGACTGTAAGCACTTTAGATGCATCCAACGATAACCATGCTGTCTTCCAGAGGACTCCAGTTCACTAATGATAAAAAGTGCAACCTCTAATATATCCGAGTAGTACTTTCTTCGAAAAAGTCTACACTGTTTTAGTTTTCGTCTCAGAGTTGATTTACTAATTATAATATGATTTTTGAAAGCAAGACAACTCAAAATTTCATCATAGTTCAAACCTAGCGCAAAATAAAGTTTGATCCATTTATTAACTGACTTCATGTTAATTCCAGTGATAATCACAACCATTTAAAATTGATAAAAAGCAATATTCCATGTTCATTGTTAAATAGCTTAAAATTATCTCGTTATAACGAGATACTAACTCGTTATAACGAGATAACTAACTCGTTATAACGAGATAACTAACTCGTTATAACGAGATACTAACTCGTTATAACGAGATAACTAACTCGTTATAACGAGATACTAACTCGTTATAACGAGATAACTAACTCGTAATAACGAGATACTAACTCGTTATAACGAGATAACTAACTCGTTATAACGAGATAACTAACTCGTTATAACGAGATAATTTACTCGTTATAACGAGATACTAACTCGTTATAACGAGATACTAACTCGTTATAACGAGATACTATCTCGTTATAACGAGATAACTAACTCGTTATAACGAGATAAATAACTCGTTATAACGACTTAATTATCTCGTTATAACGAGATAATTTACTCGTTATAACGAGATAATTTACTCGTTATAACGAGATACTAACTCGTTATAACGAGATACTAACTCGTTATAACGAGATACTAACTCGTTATAACGAGATACTAACTCGTTATAACTAGATACTATCTCGTTATAACGAGATAACTAACTCGTTATAACGAGATAAATAACTCGTTATAACGACTTAATTATCTCGTTATAACGAGATACTAACTCGTTATAACGAGATACTAACTCGTTATAACGAGATACTAACTCGTTGTAACGAGATAACTATCTCGTTATAACGAGTTAAATATTTTTTTATCTTGTCAAAAATGAGCTTATCCGGCTTTCGTACTGATACATGTAGCAGCAGGTTTTTTTTTTTTTTTTTTTTTTTTTACTAATTTTACTAATTTTGTTGTTTAATAAATTTACTTTTGACTATGACATTTAAAGTTAATATAAAATTTATCTGAAGCTTAAGATTTGTATAAGCTAATTATTTTGCTTGATTAAAAGACTTATTGGTTAAATTTAAATAATCTGAATGTTAAAAACTATATTTAACAGTGTTTAAGTGTGTATGCAGCACCTTGAACTGTTTTGTATTATTTTGATGACTAGGTGCTGGGCTACTATGTCCTCTGAAGTTGATATTAAAAAGATAATTGAGTTTCTGATTGACTATATCTATGTGATTTTTGGAGACCAGGTCTTTCAACAATATGTCGGAATTCCCATGGTACCAATTGCGCCCTGTTATTAGCAGACTTATTTTTGTATTCATATGAAGCAGAATTTATTTAAAATCTTATACACGAGAAGAAAACACTTGCTGTGGCCTTCAATTCGACATTTAGATATATCGACGACATATTATCAATTAACAATAGTTATTTCCATTCATATGTCGACACGATATACAGTACGTGTACATAAATTGGCGTATTCAAAATTTAGCACAATCAAGGGGTATGTAGTTGTTGGCGTAATCATGAATTAGCGCTACACATGAATATTTTACTAGAAAGAGACGTTAATGGTAATCTAAGAACAAAACTTCATGACAAGCGTGATGACTTGAACTTTTCAATTCAACTTCCTTTATTTATGCAGCAATATACCCTTATCAGTTGCATACAGGGTTTATATCTCTCAGTTGGTTCGTTACGCAAGAGCATGCTCTACGTTTCAACAATTTCTAAAACGAGGTAAGTTATTGACAAACAAGTTGATGAAACAAGAATATCAGTGTTTTTAACTGTCTCCACCTCGTCAGTGAGTCCTTGCATTAATATTAGCTATATTCCAATGAGCGTTGTACTTACGTCGTTCAAAGGGAGATCATTTGAGTACATCCAGAGTTATCTTATGCAAATTTTAAAAAAAATACATCTAAGCATTTCAGAGAGAAGTATAAATTGGAGATTTCTATAGGGTAGTGGTGGGATAATATGTGTTTAGGTTATTTACAAAGAGAAACCTTCTGCTTGTTTCCGGCAATAAAGACATGCACGAACATGTATCTGCACGTGCTACAAATGTGCTTCATCATATTATAGTCGTATTCATTTTAGCTTTTACATATTGATAGTATATTTTCCTTTTTCAGGAATGGGCAATGCACATGAGCATTGTGGTATGATTGATATACATATTAAGAAAAAGGTGGACATAATTTAAGAAATGAAATTTAAAACACAAATTTTATAAGAAATACATGTATTATGTTATAATTATAAATCAAATAAATAAATACATATTATATATGCCTAAACCCAAAGATAGCCCATGAAAGCCAGTATGGTTTATTTCCAGTGGGTCATTTTAGTAACATATATTACTGGCATGATGACACACACACTATACCTACTATAAACAAAATGACATATACATGATAAAATTGCAAACACACTTATACATATGAAAAACATCTAAAATTGAAATAATTTAGTAAAAAGTAGAAGTTCTTAATTGTGTAAAAAGAAGAAAAAACAGTTGCAAAATATCTCTAATAGTATAAGAATTCATCTTTAGACATTTTCTGAAGTCTCCCCATTAAATGTTTCTTGATCTCTTTAAAATGATGCTTTATTGGTATTAATAGATTTTTGTCTGATCAGCTAGAGAGTCCCAGTCTTCAATTCCATTGTAAAAGAAAGTTTCACTTCCTTTTTTTAAACCCTTGGTACAAAAGAAATTAAATTTACTTGATCTCGTATTATTTGCAGAAACATTTCGATTAAAATTGTTTCCCATATAATTTGGATACTTTTTATGAAATATATTAAAGACATGGTTAAGGTGTAATTGCCAAACCCTACCTCTGATACTCAAAAATCCCAATATTTCAAATTCATTAACACTGATTGTTTATCGAACTGAAACATCAAGGATGAATCTAATGATCTTGTTCTGTGTAACCTGAAGTCTATTTTTTATTTTTTCTGATAGCCCTTCATACCATCAAGAGATAGCATAATCGATAAAATATTGAATAAGGTAGTACACAAAGATTTTCTAGATTTCAATGACAAATTAAAATGATTTTTGTCGATATAAAAATTTGAGTGGCTGATTTGTTTTACTAATAATAGTTTCTACAATTTTCTCACCAGAAAATAAGTTGTCTAAAAAAAGCACCTAAATATTTTACACAATTGTTACATTCAATTTTAATTCCATCACACACTACTGAACACAGGTAATCAGAGATTACAGAGCTCACCTCAACGAATGTTGTCTTTAAGTGAGGCAAAGTCCCACACTAAACTAATAATCTAGTAGTGTGCATCCCTAGATGCAATATTTATGCAATTTTGGTCTGATATGGCTTGCTGCTTGGGAATGGACTTATCTAAAAACTTAAAACTAGTCACTCATTCAGAAAATGTAAGTCAAATCCAGCATCTGAAGCAAGTTTGAGAAGGTTCGTCCCTTGATGCATCATCCATGCAAGTTTGGTTCAGATAGACCTTATAGTTACTTGGAAATGAGATCTGCTCCAAAAACTTTAACCTAGTCTCTCATCCGGAAAATGTAGGTCAGGTCCAGCATCCGAGCAAGTCCAGTAGTGTGCATCCTTAGATGTATCATCCATGCAAGTTTGGTCAATATAAGGCTTATAGTTACTTGGAAATGAGATCTGCTCCAAAAACTTTACCTGGTCACTCATCCGGAAAGCATAGGTCAGATCCAGCATCTGAAGCAAGTCCAATGGTGTGCATCCTTAGGTGTATCATCCATGCAAGTTTGGTCAATATAGGGCTTATAGTTACTTGGAAATGAGATCTGCTCCAAAAACTTTAACCTAGTCTCTCATCCGGAAAATGTAGGTCAGGTCCAGCATCCGAGCAAGTCCAGTAGTGTGCTTCCTTAGATGTATCATCCATGCAAGTTTGGTCAATATAAGGCTTATAGTTACTTGGAAATGAGATCTGCTCCAAAAACTTTACCTGGTCACTCATCCGGAAAGCATAGGTCAGATCCAGCATCTGAAGCAAGTCCAATGGTGTGCATCCTTAGGTGTATCATCCATGCAAGTTTGGTCAATATAGGGCTTATAGTTACTTGGAAATGAGATCTGCTCCAAAAATTTAAACCTGGTCACTCATCCGACTAATATAGGTCAGATCCAGCATCTGAAGCAAGTCCAGTAGTGTGCATCCTTAAATAAGGTGTATCATCCCTGCAAGTGTGGCCAATATAGGGCTTATAGTTATAATGAGATCTGCTCCAAAAACTTTACCCGGTCACTCATCCGGAAAATATAGGTCAGATCAAGCATCTGAAGCAAGTCCAGTAGTGTGCATCCTTAGGTATCATCCATGCAAGTTTGGTCAATATAAGGCTTATAGTTACTTGGAAATGAGATCTGCTCCAAAAACTTTAACCTGGTCACTCATCCGGAAAATATAGGTCAGATCAAGCATCCGAAGCAAGTTCAGTAGTGTGCATCCTTAGATATATCATCCCTGCAAGTTTGGTCAATACAGGGCCTATAGTTACTTGGAAATGAGATCTGCTCCAAAAACTTTAATCTGCACCAAAAACTATAAACTGCTCCAAAAACATTAACTTGGTCATTCTTTAGCTGAAATTGCAGCATCTGAAACCTCGACTGGTACAATGAAACACACCAGAAGCATCCTCCATGCATCTCTGATTGATATAGGGCATAGAAGAACTTGAAAAGGAAACTGCTCCAAAAACATTAACCTTGGACTCCGACGCCGAGGGTATTACATAAGCCCCCCCAACTTCGTTGAGGTGAGTTAAAAAGGAATTCAAATCCTGACAATGCGTTTTTTGTGGGAATTAAGATATAGCAATGGTTAGTTGTGAGTGAAGCAATGTTTATGCTCAGTGAAGTTAAAAACCACACACACACACACACACACACCCTTACGTGTATGGACTCCGATCTGGGGACTCTGTCATAAAAACTTAAAATGGGGACTAAGCGATTTCATGACATATTTGGTATTGTTTAACTCATTTTACTTCGTAGGTATCCTGGTTTAAGTAGATGGAGTGAGTCTTT